CGAAGGACTGTTCACTGCCCAAACCAATAGTAACATGCCGAAAATGTAATAAAACAGGTCGTAAGGCTAAAATTTGTGTTACTAAAGCTGAAAATAATCATTCAAATGATAAAAATTATTCTGTTGAGCAAGTTGGTGAAAATTCAGCAGAGAGCAATTCATATTTGAAGAAAGTAAAACTGAATAATTCTGAAGAAGTACAGGTTTTAATTGATACAGGGAGTTCTTGTTGTCTCTCAAGGACTTAAGTTGCTCAGAAACAAACTGAAACCTGAACCTGCTATGAGTGAATTGTATGGTTTTGGAAATCAAGGGGTGCCTGCAGTAACCTCTATAGGAATGATTAAAGCCGATATTGAAGTTGATAATGTAAAAGGACAAGGCATAAATATATACTTGATCCTGATAATGCACAGCCTGTTGATCTAATAATCGAACAGACATGGCTTGATCTCCCTCATATCGCTTATGTCAGAATAGGAAACAGATTTCACTTCGGATATCAGGAAGATGAACTGTTTAGTAACCTCCAAATTGATGAAAAAATAAATCGAGTCTGCCTAAAGCTCTTGAGGAAAATGAATGAGAGAAAAATGTTGTCAGTCTCATCAGTTCTCAAACAGATAATGAGATGTAGATAATGAATTAGTTATGATAGAAAATCCTTCTGAAGATATCAGCTGTTTATTAGAAATTAAAAATGGTGAAACTTGTATACCAATGATTAACGTTGGCGACAGAAGTGTTAAGCTCCAAAAAGATCAATTCATTGGGAGAGTAAAAGGAAGTTGAACTATGTTTAAATACTGAAATTTCTGAATTGAGCTTGAACCCAGCAAGTAGGGAAAATATTAACAACATAAAATTTCTTATAAGTTTAAGCGAAGTTAAAATTGGCTCGGATCTCGATGTTGATCACCAGCAAGAGTTATTGTTTCTTTCGAATGAATACAGAGATTGCTTCGCACTAAGTATTTCAGAACTAGGGTGCACAGATCTCATAAAAATGGACATTAAAGGTAATCGAAGGTTCAAAGCCAGCATGTGTAAAGTCTTATAGAACAATTGCTCAGATCAAAGAAAAGTTCAAGAATGGAAAGGAAATGGCCATGTAACAGAAACACGATCCCCATATGCTAGTCCTGCCATATTAGTAAAGAAAAAGACCGGTGAACACAGATTAGTTGTTGATTACAGGCGTCTCAATAGTCAAACTATAAAGGATAAATTTCCCCTGCTTAAAATAGATGATTTATTAGAACAATTGCATGAATGTAGTCAGTTTACAATGCTAGATTTAGCACATAGATACTTACAGATTCCACTAACTGAAAGTACAAAATTGAAAACTGCTTTCTTAACGCCAGATGAAAGTGGACAATTTGAAAAAAGGATTTTTGGCTTGACTAATGCTCCTGCGGAATTTCAATGATATATGTATCAGGCATTATCCTCATTATGTAATAAAGAAGTGTTGTGCTACCTTGACAATATACTTGGGAAGAAATGATTCAGAAATTAATTAAAGTATTTCAAGCACTACTTGCAGCTAAACTAACGCTGAAGTTATCAAAATGTGAATTTGCCAAACAAGAAATAGAATATTTAGGCTTTATCATCAATAAAAATGAAATAAAGCCAGGATCAAAGTTGAAGTAATATTAAAATTCTCAGAACCTAAAAACATTCATGAAGTTCGACAATTTCTTGGTTTAACAAGTTTTTTTAGAAGATTTATTCCAAATTATGTCATTAAAGATGGACCATTGACTCAACTAAGAAAAATGAGACATTCAGATGGAAAGAAAGTCAGCGGAATTCTTTTACATTGCTGAAAAATGAACTGACGAATCAACCAGTATTAGCTTTGCACAACCCTAAAGCTCAAACCGAAGTCCATACTGATGCATGTTCAGAGGGTATTGCTGGGATGTTACTTCAATGCGGAAGTGTCGGCAAATAGCCCCTTGTCTACTGTGTGAGTAAGAAGACAACGGAAGCTGAAAAGAATTATCACTCGAGAAAACTTGAGCTAATGGCAATTGTCTGGACTCTAGATAGACTTCGACAATTCTCACTCGGAATTGAATTTACGGTAGGTACCAACTGCCAAGCATTGGTTTACATGAATGCAAAGAAATCTAGCAATCCCCAAATTGCTCGTTGGAGTATCCTTGTTAAAGAATATAATTTTGAAATATGCCACAAACCAGGGAATAAAATGTCTGATATCGATGCAATCAGTAGATCTCCCGTTACTGATTCATCAGATACCATGCATTCTTTGATAGAAGATAATTTAAAAGTTTGTCTGACCTTAAATTTAGACGGACAAATTCTTATGATACAGCATGCAGATGAAAAGTTAAGAGAGTTAATAATGATTTTGAAGAAAGGCCAAAGTGAAAGAACCAAAGAAGAAAATCAAAATGGGAAGAATTATATTTTGAAAAGGAATGGATTGTTCCATATTGTGGAGGATGGAGAAAAGAAGAAATTATTATACGCCGTACCTAAAAGCATGAGAAAAAGCATAGTGTGAAGTTTCATGACCTTATGGGACATTTTGCTGTTGATAGGACTGTCTCAAAAATCAAAGAACTGTACTGCTTTCCTGCTATGAAGAGATATGTTCATCAACATATATAAGTTCCAGGTGGAAAAGACAGGGTCTTTTGCATCCTATTCCTCCAAGCCATAGACCTTTTGCTGTAATACATATTGATCATCTTGGACCTTTCATCACAAGTTCTAAAAGAAACAAGGAATTGTTAGTCGTCGTTGATAATATGACTAGATTCTTTCGATTGTATGCTGTGAAAAACACATCTTCGAAAAACATACAAATATGACTAGCCAAGTTTTATAGAAGAATTTGGATTACCAGATCGTATAATATTAGATCGAGCCTCTTCTTTTACTTTCAAAATTTTAGCAAAGAAAATGGAATTTTTCATACATTCAATTCAACCTCCCACTCACAAAGAAATGGTATGATCGAGAGATCAAACAGAACAATTTTATCAACAATAATAACATCAATGAAAAGTAAAGATCAAAAAGTTTGGGACAGAAGAATTAAAAAAGTTGAGAGAAACTTGAATAACACAATCAATAAAACTATTGCGAAAACACCATTTGAAATGCTTCATGGATATATATCACAATTTCAAGATGGAGTTTTGAGATTACTTACCAATGAAGAAGCAGACGTTTGGAAGGAACCGGAAGAACTACAAAATGAAGCTAGAGAACAAGAAAAAATGAAAACTTATTATGACAAGAAGAAATCGGGATCTCTATCATTTGAACAAAGTGAAATAGTAGTAGTTAAAAGAAATTCTAAATCTACAGGAGAACCAACCAAGACTCAACTTAAGTATCGTGGTCCAATGGTTGTAACAGAAGTACTTCAGGGTGACACTTATAGAATATCACAACTAGAAGAAGCCTGTGATGGCCTGCATCAACTAAAATCTTAGAAAAATGCAGAAGCAAATGATGATGATGACAATGATAAACTTAAAAGGCCCGAGCGAACAGAGCATAAACAATTGCGCTATAGAGACTTTGTGTAGGACTTATAGAATTTTTTAAAAATTATATTTCATTTTATTTTTTTTCCTACTTATTATATTTTGTTGTTTTTTAATGCATGATAAGATTTGGTTCAATTGAAAAGTCAGGATGGTTGAATGTAAGCACGACTATAAATTATTTATTGTTATTATACAGAATGTCTATTGAGAAATGGTAACAGCTAATGTCTGGATGTCGTTCTATTTTTATTTTTAAATATTCAGATGATATATGATTGAAATGTATATCAGTACGATGCAGTAAGAACGTCTGTTATGTTATGTATGTTTACGAATACGTTACATGTAAGTTATTAAGTAACGAGTATGATTTATCTCTAAATAAATGTTTGTCTTTTACAATCGTTTTATGAGTGATTAATTTAACTACAAAAAGAAGCTAACATTCCTTACCACATGCTATTGTGATGTAATTAAAAACATATCCAACTGTATTATCTGATTATAGATGCATTTTTAGATGCTGAAATTTAAATATAATGAATGTCAGAGTCGAAAAAAATCAAGTGATTTAAAAAAAAAAAAAAAATCAGAAATTGCATTGAAAATTTCATATAAATTTCACTTGAAAGTTTTTTTCCCACTGTATCCAAGGGTGCAGACAATAAAATTTTGAGATGTTTAATTTGTTTGTTAAATGAAAATATGGGGAGGAATGCCAAAAAATCATTTCAACATTAAATTTAAAAAAATCTGAGTTAAATTTTGAAAAAAATTCTCTTAATCATATTGTATTATTAGCGTATCAGGAAATAATGTAAACATTGATAGCAAATTTTGACAAATGCAAGTTAATTTAATAAAAGCTTATAAAAACAAGTGCAAACACCAAAAAGTTAGGAGGTTGATATTAGAGGCCATTCAGATTACCACAGATGATGATTTATTGCAGTGGCACCAAAAATCTACAAATACTTTTTTTTCTTCCTTTCAGTTCACTCACTTCTACTAAAATGTCTTATTAATTTCAGGATGCTTTTTATATCTTATATGATTATGTAGAAGTTTTGGGTAAATTTCTTTAATACAGTTTAAACAATAGATAAAAGGGGGCCCGTTTGGTTTTGTGTGTAATTAATTTTTATATTATCCTTTTTGTTAATAAATATTTAAAACCAGAAAATAATGCCATTTATTTTATATTTATTAAAAATGCATTTATGTAAAAAAGCAATTTTTTTGTTTCAGAGCAAATATACTTATGCAGAAAATTATTGAAACAATCTGGATGAATATGCTATTTTTAAAATGGGAAGGAAAATAATTTCTAAATAATATTTGTTTGTCTTGGCTAAAGTGTATTTATTACTTTAATAATTTAAGTTTGATGCACTTATTTTCTGATATCTGTTTTGTGTGATGTTTTGTAGTTTTATTTGAAGCTATGTATATTATTTGCAGTTAAAAGACAGATACTTAATCACCAAAGTTCCACCACTGGCTTATTTCCTCAGTTGTCTCAAGAAAGGGAAGTAGCTTGTGTTCGTGATAGTATATATTGTGCAGTTGCCATATGGAGTTTATATCAAGCATACAAGTAATTATAGTCCCTAAAGTCACTTTTTCTATCTTTTCAGCTTTGGCCTTAAATATGAAATAAAGGATTGTTAAACTGTATTTGTTTTCAGGAGAATAGATGATGATAGGGGTAAAGCTTATGAACTTGGTCAGAGTGCTGTAAAATGCATGAGAGGAATCCTTTTCTGCTGGATGAGACAAGCAGAAGAAAAAGTAATTTTGCGTTTCCGTATTAAATGTTCATTATTCTTCTTAAATTGCCTATCCTAATGTTAAAGTTTTTTAATACATTTTTGTATTAGTTTGTAAAATTTATACAAGTTTTTGTAATTGTATAATGAATAATTCTGTAAATACAATATGCTTTATTTGATTGACTTTCTAACGTACATAGTCTTAAAATAGTAATAATTTTGCTTAGAAAATTAGCTACATATGCATAAAAATAGCTATTCATCCTGGCCTGTTGTGCATCAAATTAATAAGAACAACAATAATTTAACCTGGATTTAAAACCTGGCAAATGGGCTGTTTTCTTGGGTATTTTCCTCATGTGCACTATGAATACAGTCAAAAGTCGTTAATCTGGACTCGTCGGGACTTCGCCGATTCCGGATTATAGATCATCAGTTTAAGTCTGCTAAGATGGCATGCAGAAATTATAAAATTAAAAATACAAAACCGTAATTTATGAAATAAAGAGCAATTATGATCTAAAGGGTATCAAAATTTACAAAAAGAAAAAGCTAAATATTTGTTTACTTTATTAAACATTTCTTTCAATGTAACTTGTTTAATTTGCTTCGTTTCATGTGACAATACTTTCTCTTTAATTCTATTAAACAGACATACTTTATTGTTTAGTTACAAAGTTCCGCTGTTCAAGTCCTACAATTGCTGTGTCGAGAATACTGACTAATTTGTCAATCGAAATTTTTTCATTTTCAATAACCTCTGCTTACTTTCTTCACTATCAGAAGCGAAGGATAATGACAAGGAACTTGATTTAAATCATATCAAAGACCGAGTACATCGAGATGAAATACTACATTAAAGGATTATAAGCCAAATAAAATAAAAACATCTGCCCTGAAGATAAGGATAGTGCTGACAGATTAACTTCCAATTCATTGCACGCCATGTTGTTTCCCTCCCCCCGCAGAGCAGCGTGAAATTGATAAACGTATTTCGGAATGATTAGATAATCAAAGGATATGCCTTTATCCATTTTTTTGCAGCAATTCCACTTTCTGTTTAATGGACTTCGAAACATACTTTCGCTTTGTAGATCCTTTACATATTAGTAAATATATATCGGAAATTCTATTTGACATAATTGGAAGTTCAAGCTTACTTTTATAAAATTGCTCTAACAGTCTGCAAAAAATAATAAGCTGGATCCAATTCGAAGATTAAGGAACAACGCAATCTGCAACATTAACTGAAATAGATAATTAGATAATTTTAGCTTATACTGTCCGTTATACATTAAACGCGCATGCGTAAACGTATTATGCCCATGCGCACATGTATATTCACAGCCGTAAAGGTCTTATGTGCACGCGTAAACGCCTATGCGCATGTGTGAACGCGACGCCAGCGCAGAAAGTTTTTAAGCTTTGAGGTCCGGATTATGGGTGTCTGAATTAACGACTTTTGACTGTATAAGGTAGTTTCCATAGAAAATCTTCCATAAAGCACTTATTCCTCAGGCATATAATCCTCACGTGCTTTGACAGCATCCCAGTTCTCTATTTATTATCATTTGTACATAAAATAGATAATCGACATAAAATTTCTCTAGGTAATTTTCATAAAGAATCAGTCATAATTTGTAATACTGTCTGCATAGAAACATAATGTGAATGAAACTGTAACATCAGTCACAAAAATACTGAATATGTCATCCACTCATATTTAGCCACACTTCATTGTGATGCTTCACATTATAAAATGTTCTCTACAAAAATTTCCTTGTTAAAAGTTTGGTTTTTTTATTGTTTTTTAAGTATTCTTAGGAACAAGGCTAAATTTTGTAAGCACATTTTCAAATGGCAGTCATTGTAATTAGTCATCATTATTATTTAAATTTGTGCTTTGAGGTTTCTTGTTGCCCAACATTACTGAAAAACAAAAAGGTGGAAAAAAAGTCATAATTGTTTATTTTGGGGGATACTGTGACGTGTAAGACCATGGTTAACAGGAAATGTGATAGTCACAAATCGGCATCTAATGTGTGTATGTATTCTATATAAAACTGTCCATATTATCCATCTCAAAAAAGTTGTCAGTATGCCAGTTATTGTCGCAAACAAAACTTGTGTATCTATCAAAAATATCACTTGGTAATTTTTATAACTGTGTTGAAGTTTATAAACATTGAAAGCACTTTCCTTGCCAGAAAATCTTTCAAATATACATGCAACTTAATGATCTTTTGTGTGATCCCTATTCATGAATCTTTGTTGTGTCCCATATTGAAACATGCTCTTGTGTCTGCCTGCGGTTATAAAATCGCGAAAAGAAGTGTCATAGAAAACGATTTTTCATTTATCACTTAAGTTGTTTAACCAACCTGTTTTGGATTTTTTAAAATTTTATTTATTAATTATTATTATTATTATTATTATTATTATTATTATTGTTCTGTGTATAAGGACTGTAGTGAAAGATGCTTTACATTGTTAATGTTGGAAATAAAGGTAGAATAGAATAATAGAAAGTAAAATTAGCAGTAAATGGTTCAAAATCGAAACTGTAGTTTTTAATCATCTCACTGTTTCATATGGCATAGATTACATATCATCAAAAGCCCTGTGTTTAACTGAAATTTCAAAGATCAGGATTCCTTTTGCATTATGTGCAAAATGTAGAATTGTTGAAGAACTTTAGATGTCAATATTTAATTTGTTATATTTGAGGAATTTTTCTACCTTTTTCTTTAAAACGTTAAGGTATTTTGTTGCATAATAGTGTGTAAATTTCCAATTAATTCAGCTTATGCAAACTTCTTTTCTAACTGGAGCTTGTTATGAATTTCCTTAAGTTTTTCTGTAAACTGAATGCTTAGTGAATAATTTTAAGTATGATGCATTTCTTGTCGATGTGTGGAAAATCTTAATGCTTGTGTTACTTTGGTTTGTTGGCCCACCAGCAGCTGAATGTTGGTAATTTGACCTATAAGCTGGCTACTAGGGAGTTTCAGGTTTTCCTTGTAAGTAGCATGGGTATGTACCATTTTGCCTTAAAATGTCATCCTTTCCCATAGGCACATAGCCCTTGAGTTGATTTGCCTTAATCAGTTAACCCAACCTATTGTGGTTTATTAGTCATGCATCTCTTATCAAGTACAAACATGTTTTATTTTAAAATTTCAGCATTTACTTTGATAAGCCTAGAATCAGTTTCAAGTGAAATTGTAATCAACATTTATTTTACATATTTTATAGCTCAAAATACATTATTATTTAAAGTATTATATTATGCCTTTTCTCATCAGTTCCATCAGCCTGTCTGAGAAAATTATATTTTAAAAAACATTAACAAAGTTGGGAATTTTTCAAACATTACTTCACTGTAAACAAGAAATACCATGTCGGATTTAATATCTGCCACTTCCATTCTGTTTCAGCTAGAGAAATACAAAATGAATCAATGTCCAGAATATGCTTTGCATAGTAAATTCCATTTGGAAACTGGTCAACCATTAGCACCAGATGTACTTGGTAACTATGGCCATTTGCAGGTAATACTTTTTGCATTTTTATTTTTACAAGCAATATATTATTTTTTAATTAGAGTAACATTAGAATTTTTTCATTTTCAGCTGGATGTTGTTTCTCTGTACTTATTATTTTTAGTGCAGATGATTATGTCAGGTCTTCAGGTATGAAATAAACTTTTTTTTTCCACATTTGCTTTCTGAAAGTAATTTTAATTTAAAGAAAAAATGTATGTTAAACATGTTTTCTGAAAAAGAAAAAAAAAATTACTTTTAGCCTAAATGAGATGTCAGTTGATAAATATTTTTATCAGCATTTTTTAACTATGATAACCAATAAATATAATGGCATCTATAGCTTTAAAAATGGCTATGTGCACTGAATTAGCTCTGTCTACCCTCCACTTTTTTTTTGCTTTTATTGTTGAGAGAGGAGGAATAGTCAGTTTTATTCCCTGTGTGACTGAAATCTCAAAAACAAATTTAAGTTTACTTAAATACAAAAGTTATTATTGTAAATAGAAATTGATCATCTGAAAGGAAAAGGATTGCACAAAATATCTGAAAAATAATATTTTTAAGTACATTAAAGTTATCAGATTGCAGATAAATATATTAGTTTGTGTCGAGTGAAATTTATGTGTGATTATAAATTAGTGTAAAAATAAGGCAGGAACTATGATAAATTATTGCTATTCTAAATATAATTTTGACTGTATCGGTATTTTTGAAGAAGGTATTAGGGAATCCTTACTTTTCATACTAAACACTTTTGTAAATAATGTTAAAGGAAGAATAAATTTAGTTCATAAAATTTCTACTGCCATAAACATATAGTTTCTGAGGAATAACATTGTGCTGATTGGTAAAGATGTAACATAGAATAGAAAAATTGCTGTAGGGTTAAAAGAAGTATTTAAACTGCAAGGATCCTTAAAAAGGAAGTAGTGGCAGCTCGTAAATAAGCACTGTGGAACTGCAGCACTCCCAATTTCCACTTATTATTATTATTTTTAATATTTAATATAGTGTGCCCTTTAGTCTTTAATTCTTTCTTTATACTTTTACAATACATAATCCTTAAGCTTTATGTCAGTAGCCATCCCCCGCTTTGTCAAAAAGGTACGAAAGTCTTAGGAACTGCGCGCTTCACAGTTCCAGCCATGTGGTGTTTGGCTGTTCTGCGCACGCGCACACAGAAAGCAGCACACGAGCCGGGCAGAGAGAAGAGCACTGTCGCTCTTGCAGTGCCGAAATTCTGGCATGTTGTTCGAAAAGTGATTTCTTTTTACTCTGCACGTGTGGTATTCCTCCACAAGGTGGAACTTCATCATACGGACCATAAACAGAGTTCATGAAAATTTGCAACCTTTTAAAAAATTGCCTTAGTGAAATTCAATCAACATCAAATGCAGAACAACAACAAACGAAACAACTGTAGGAATTTTAAAATATCTAAATGATGATAATTTCAAGTTTGGGTTAGAGCTTTTTTTATCAGATGCCTCATGTTGAAATAATATACAATCAAATGCAATTCAGAGAAATTAGTGTGTTTAAAGTTAATGAACATATAACAAATTCCAAAACTGCTATCTTAGAATTAAGAAACTCGGAAGTACTGTGAGAATTTTCCAAAGACACCGATGGCAGAAGAATAGAAGAAAGAAATATGTGACTTTATGCTATGTATTCATATAATGCAGAGATATTCTTCCACTAAACACTTAGCAGCTTCTAAATTGTTAGAACAATTATTAGTTCTAAATTGTTTAAACAAGAAATGCTTCGCTAGTTTTAGGAATGAACATTCTACAGAAGAAATAATACTGACCACTGAAGCATATCCAATGATTGACAAAGGAAAGCTTGAAACTGAACTAAAGGTCCTACAAATTAAATGAGCTACTGAAATTTATCTTCGAAAATAATCTAGATGATGTTCTTAGTGGAATTACGAAACTGATAAAAATTCTCTTGAGAGTTCCCATGACTACATCAGAGGCTGAACGCTGCTTTTCAACATTGAAAAGAATGAAAACTGTTCTAAGAAGCACTAGAATTCGGAAAGACCAAATGTGCTTGCATTCCTTTCAATAAAGAAAAATTTCCTCAGTTGTCATCCAGAGATCAAGGAGAAAATTATTGATTGTTTCGCGCAAAGTAAAACAAGAAGAATGGATTTCCTTTTTAAATGAATAGACAAAGAGCGAACTGTAAAAATTGTGGTTAAAGTAATTAAGAAATGCTTAAATATTTTATTGTAAGATTTCCTGATGTTTCAAAATAAATTTTCTTTTTATACATGTTTGTTTCCTTTCAGACAATTTTAAAACAAAGGTTGAATTTTTTTGGAACAACATCCCCACTAATTTTAGCCACTGAAAGGAAGTTTTTTCATTTGCTAGTAAAATATTTAGACTTGTTTTCTTGTGAACAAAAAATTTAATATAATGGTAAATTTTTTTCATTGAATTGATGTTACTAATTCCCTACCAATAGGAAAACAAAATGTTATCGTTGTGTCATCTGGAAAGTTCTGCAGTTTTTCAAACTGCATTATGTTTTTTTCTAACTATTTTGTTACAATTGTTAAAGAGTGTCCTTGATTGAAGCATATGCATAATATGGTGTTTTATGCTCATGTTGTACAATTATGTCATGTATTGTGGTGTATTTTTTATTTTTTTTTTCCTAGTGCAGTTTTAAGAGTGAAGAACCCAAAAGCTTATTTCCATCATATTACTCATTTTAGTTTTAAAAAGGAAAACTGTTAATCAGTTGAAATGTGTTCTATGTTAGACAAAGTAGTGTTTCTGATGACATAGTTTGAAGATGGTTTGAAATGTGTAATTGTTGAAATTTCAGCTTCAAAGATGATGTCCATTTTGGGTGACTATCTTTTGTAAGCCAGGGCGTATGAAATGAAGCACTCTCTGAATATCAATATTATACAGTTCAGGAACTTTCAAACAGTCTAAATATTCTGAAAAATATAGCTTATCATCATTTACAGATGACCAGACCCACTAAAATATGAGTATCCCATACTTTTTCAGCATATGATTCTTTGATGAAAAGAATTAACGAAGTTTATTTTCTAAAACAGCTGATTACTGGAGATGAGAAGTAGGTACTGCATAATAATGTTACAAGAAAAAAGATCATGGTAAACCTCCTTTATTAACATGAAGAGAAGGGCTATATCCCAAAAAGTAATGCTTTGTGTATGGTGGAACTGCAAAGGAATCATATTCTATGATCTGTTGCAATCAAATCACGCAAAAAATTTGGAAAAATCACGCAAAAAATTTGGAAAGTTTTGAGATAATAGTTTCAGCTTGCCCCCACATTTCGATGAATGTCAAAGTTTATTGATTATGGCTGGAATGTTTTGTGTCCCTCCCCCTTCCCATATTCACCAGACTCGACCTTCTCAGATTTTCATCTTTTCAAATCCCTTCAGAATTCTCTGAATGGCCTAGAGAGACTGTCAAATAACACCTCAATGACTTTTTTTACAAATGCCTCGTTTTTCCCCTTAAGGGGGGAAAAAGGGAATTTTCCGGCATGCAGAGAAATGGCAAAAAGTTATGAACAAAATGGTGCTTATGTGATTCAATGAAATTTTGTTGTGTTTTTTTACTGCGTCATTTGCATTTATCATAAAAAAACACAGAACCTTCTGATTAACCCAGTATGAGTACTTCTGGGAATTATTCTCATTTTTCTGTTATGAAAAAATTTCTATCCTTATTCTAGAGTTAATGATCTAAAATTCTGGAAGTATAACTTAAAGATTAACTGTAGCTTTTGCAGAAGTTTTGTGTATTTACCTTTGCTATATATAATGTTTATAATATGTAAATATTTATTCAAAATTGAGACTGACCATTGACAAAATAACAAAAGTGGGTGAGGGGAAACTACTAGTTCACTTTTTATATTTTATTTTTAGTTGTTGAATAAGGTAGGTTTCTATGGTGGGTCCCCATTTGTAATATAAATGCAGGCCTGTTTACTAATAAAAGTCCTTTTTAAATGGCAGTCTTGGATTTAATACTTGGGAAAGGCATCTCAAATGAGGTGGGTGTTTTTGTTTGTTTTCTTTTGTTTTTAAGGGCATTTAGTTTTATGACCTAGGCTGGTGTCAAAGTTGGTACAACTAGTATGGCTGCACCTTGTAGCAGAGTTCAGGGGCAGCATAATTTTTATAATTTAGAAAAGCACTAAAAGAAAAAATTTAGAGTATGCAATTTTTTTTTTTAAATTTAGAGTAGACAATAGGCTGCTGAGTTTTTAAAATTAAGGAAGGACTGGGCAACAGAATTTAGCATCCACAGAGTTTACACCGAATGGCAAAATACTGTAGCATGTATAATGAGTTCATAATAGATCGAATACACACAGATTCAGTGATAGGTTGATAAAATTTATTTCATCCAAAAAAAATGGAACTTTCCACAAAAATACTTTTATGAATCTATCTCCACAGTATCACAGAGTACAATCAGTAGTGATTCTTCAGACTACTAAGAATGTTAAACACAATGGGCAAAGTGCAGCTAAAGAACGAAGCTAAATTGGAGAAAGTTGTTACCACTAACAACAACCACTGAGAGCGGATACTCCCTTCGGCCTTGTGTACTTTTCACCTGGCTGCCGAAATATTTCTAGTACTTTCTGCTTCTCGAAATTACTGGAAGGCAGTATGAAGGCCAAATTACGGTTACAACTAATATAGTGATCAACTATATTTATTCAATTACAATACTTATTATGATGATACAGGGATCAAACCAAAGATGATACAGGGATATGATGATACAGGGATCAAGTTTGGCAGCTTTTGGCAATTTCTCACCAAATTTGAGAACAAAAATTTGTCACAAAAACTGTTGCCAGCTTGATGATATCTCACTAAATTACTGAGATACCAATATACTCAATGTTAAATAAATTTGCTCCTGTATTCTTGCTTAAGGCATTAGGTACATTTATCCTTTCAAAAATATAAACTAAATATATAAGGCTCCTTGCATTTGCAACGTTTGTTACCCAGTAAATCTGCTTCTGATGAAAGTATCTTTCTTGATAGACAGATAACTCTTGTATCAAAATTGAATAAATATAACTCTTTTTTAAAGAGTCAAAAAGTAATTTTATATTGTGTAGAAGGATATCTGAAGAGAAAAAAAAAATAATTGGGCTTTGTAAATATATTTATGTAGACTTTCGAATATCATATTTTCAAAATTTGCATGAGAAATTTTCAAATTTTTTTGTATTACTTTTTGATTATTGCTTGTCAAAAGTTAATAGCTTACTTTTTTTTTTTTAACTTTTGATGTTAAATTAAATTATACTGAATTTTTATACTGTACTTTTATAAAATTGATTTTAATGTTTTACTCTTTTTCCTATTTAAAAAATTGACAGCTTTATAAGCATAGTTAATTAACAGTGTTTTTGCATAGATTATTTACACCATGGATGAGGTCAGTTTCGTGCAAAATCTTGTCTATTATGTTGAAAGAGCATATCGTACACCAGATTTCGGTATGTGGGAACGAGGAAGTAAATATAATGATGGTACTCCAGAAATACATGCAAGGTAAATACTTCTTCTAATTTGTGATGTTTATCTTGAAATATGTAATGTTTTTAAATGTTTCAAACCAGTTATCCTTTTTAGGAAAATCAACCATTTATTTTAATATTTTTATCATACATACAAAGTATTGTTACAAAATGTCAAGTCGTGGTAAGATAGCTTCCCTGCAAAGCAGTTTTAGGGTTGCCACATTTGGCGTGAAATCACAAAATTGGCGATATACTTTGGGCAGATGGAGAACCTTCTGGAATAAATTCTTATCGGTTTATCCCAGAATGTTCTCGAACATAAGCCAAAAGTTATATAAACTCTGCTGGCCGGCAGTCAGTCAGTAAGTGCCTCGTCTAGCGAGTTGATAGTCAGTCAATGAGCAAGTGTCTCGAAGTCTAGTGCCGAAGTTGGTAGTTGAATGCATCGAAGAGTCTCTTAGTGTATCCTGATTAGTGCATCGTCGAGAGAATATGTTAAGCTCCAGAAATGACTGAACTGAAGAGTCAGGAGCTGTGCTCTGTGTGTTGTCGAGTGCATTGGGAGTTGTAGCTTGGAGAGTCTCGAGAGTACGTTGAGTTCCGAGTACGACCAAGTAGAGTTGGGAGCTGTACTCTGGTGCTTTGCAGTGAAGCTTCACTGTGATAGCTTGATAACCTGAAAGCTATGTCGCTGATCGTGTCAGCGCGTTTATAACAGTTTAACAACTGTGAACAAGATTTTGGAGTTGTCCTGATTAATACCGGCCAATAAAGTGTCATTATTCACTCCAAATTCTCATGGACCCAAAGGAAGAAAATAACGTAACAAATGGTGTCGGAAAAGAAAAAATGCAACAGTATGTTTGCACAGAGCTGACTGCAGTATATTTAGTGCCTTGAGCATGAGTATCATCCTTTGTAAACTAAACTTCTCATCAGTATTTCAAACTAAAATATACCTTTAATTAATTAATTAAAAAGGCTCTAAACATTTACAACTTATAAATTAATTCTATGTGCTTTTTGTGAGGCAAAATGCTTGACAATATTCTCATATTGGAGGTTTTGAGCAGTATCACTTTCTTTTGACAGTAGTTGAAATGGATTTTAATTATTTGGATTTAATCATGTTGTTAAATAAGTTTTCATATACACTGCTGGCCACCCAAATTGCAACACCAAGAAAGACGAGATATCACAATAAAATTTATTTAGTAGATAACATGTTGACCAAGTATCAAATGATTAAATTTATAGACTTTTGTGAAGTGTGGTTCCTTCCAGAATCAGTAGCCAGAGTAGCTGCCATTGTTGGAGATCGCTGCTACATGCCTCGGCATTGATTCAAAGAGACTTTGGATGTGTTCTTGGGGTACAGCAGACCAAGCAGCTTCCACTCGTTGCCAAAGTTGATCTGGTGTGGCAGCTTGGGATGTAATCTGGGTCAATCGTTCAGCAACCATGGACCACATGTTTTCTATTGGCGAAAGCTCCGGAGAGCGAGCCGGCCAGGGAAGCAATTCAATCTGGCGATTGACGAAGAACCCTTGGACAATGCATCCCACATGTGGTCGCACATTATCCTGTTGAAATATGGCTATGGGGAAGCCCTGAAGGTAAGAAAAGACAATTGGTTCCAACACTTCGGAGATGTAGCATCTACTAGAGAAGTGCAAGAGCGATATCCAATACTGCCCCATACCATAATACCCGGCACAGGACAAGTGGGGCGGTGCATAACGCAGCTGCTCAACATCCTCTCTCCACGGAGTCTCCAGACTTGAATCCGACTATCGTGGTGTTGCAGGCAGAAGCGTGACTCATCAGTAAAGACAATTTCATTCCATTCTGCCGTTCACATCCTTCTTTCATCGCACCATTGGCGGCGGAGCCATCTGTGGTTCTGCGTCAAGGGTAGACGAAGCAATGGATGTGTTGCAGACAGACCTCTCTGCTGTAAACAGCGTTGAATGGTATGAACAGACACTGATGTGTTACAGACTGAATGTGCTATGCTAATGGTTCATGATGTGACTGAGCGATCTGTCACTGCCATGCGCACAGTGTTCATGTCATCACTTGAAGTGGTGCACTGAGGTGGATGCGATTGAACACGTCAGTCCGTCATACCCTCCTGCATCCAACGGTCACATATCCGCATTACAGTTGTTTGGTTTCGTCCAACACAACTACCGATTTCCCTGAAAGATAATCCACACTCTCGGTAGGCCACTATTCGTCCTCTGTTGAACTTGAATATTTGATCAAACGATGATCGCTGTTTACTACGAGGCATAATTGATCTCTTTTTTAAAAAAAACCACAAGAAAAACAAAATTGCCGAACTTGAAATCGTCGAAATCTCCAAGCCTTAAATAGCGCTTTGAAGTGGCACCACAGGTATGCCTGATGTGCGTCTGCGCTGAAATTGTAATCATTTTCATATCTCACCTCCTCTAATGCATGTTGTAAATTTCATGTTATTTGCATGCTTCCTTCTGGGTGTTCAATTTATGGTGGCCAGCAGTGTATTTCAGTGCAAAAAAACTCTTTACTGCAACTACTGATGCTGAAAGTTTTCAAAAAATTTATAAGGCAAATCTTGTTTACAAAAAAGTATCATGTAAAGAGTATTTTGAATGTAGAAAGCAGTTTCGTTTGATGCTTGCCATTCCAAAAATGAGATCCTGTGAGTAGCACCTTTAATATGAGACTGATGGCTGCTTACTATGCTCTTAGTTGTTGTTTGTGTTAAAACAATTTTTTTGCAGTTTATTATTTATATGCTTCTATGCAATTTTTCAATATCATAACTGTATGTCTAGTATATGAGAATAAATAGAATACTAGAATAAATTTTACATGATTATTCAGAGACACGAGCTACCAGCAAATTACCCTGTGCACGAAAAATGTTATCTGTGTTAGGTATGGGTAAAACTGCTAGTTGGTTAATAACATAGTGCAGTATTTAAATATTTTACCCTTCCCACTTTGCCAGATATTGTTGCTTATGATAACTTGGCTGGCACCATCTGTAAATCAATGCCGTATGCCAGTGGTCTCTATAACGAACTTGCATTTAACTATGGCGGCCCGAAGAGCCAACACAAAGCATCCGGTGGTTCAGTTTTTCTAATGCTATTTATTTTCCGTTATATTTACATATTTACAACTGTCCTATGTTAGGGGACTACCCTCACAGAAATCATATTGCTAATCAAAAAGATTTTCGTTCTACTTGCATGCATGCGCTACTGCCAAGCAGTGCCCTTTACTTCTCTCTTTCACACTCCCCACCTCTGAACTTTTTAAGTTCACACAAACCAAATACAAATAAACCAGTATTTCTAAATCAAACATATTGAATACTATATAAACGACATCAAATTGCAAATAATTAAGTAATGTTTAAACACATTAAATCAACTTATAAAGTAATTACTAAAAGAAACATTATACAAACAAAATTCGCAATAATCATATAACTAAACTACATTTAGCAACAATCAATAAAGATACTCTGAAGATGACATAAGTGCAAACAACAAATCAGATTATTACACAGTAACTCTTTACTACTAATTATGCACTTCAAAGTTGTACAGCAATTGTACTGGTCTCTTTAGATTACCTGTTTGAGTTTTTATGAGGCAAGAGCGAACCTGACCATTTCTGCCAGGATAAGTTTCTATTATCTTACCTAGTGTCCACAAATTCCTAGGTAAACGGCTGTCATGTACAAGGACTACGTCATTAACATTAAACTGACTAGACACTCTAGTAGGTGGAAATAAACTCACAGACCGTAAAGAAAGCAAGTAATCCTTCCTCCATCTATTCCAAAACTGGTTTAACAAGGTTTGTTGATGTTTATACCTTTTGATAACGGAATATCTAGACCCAATCAAGTCTTCTCTGCAAACCCTTGTAACTGGAAGAGAAAGTAAACATTTACCAAATAAAGAAATGAGCAGGAGTTAGCGTTATGAGGGTTGGGTCGTTGTAGACATACGTTATGGGCCTTGAATTAATTATGGCTTCGATTTCTATGAAGACTGTTTCTAGCTCATTCGAACAGAGACTAGAATTTCCAACTATTTTCCTTAAACAAGTTTTGATCGTTCTAAAATGCCTCTCCCAGAATCCTCCCCACCATGCTCCCTTTTCCACAATAAATTTCCATGTTATACCGTGGGAGGAAAACAAATTTTGTACAGATGGATGTTGAATACACTTCCAAATTTTTCGCAACTCAAGATCAACACATTTGAATGTCTTGGCATTGTCCAAATATATCGTTGAGCACAATCCATGACGAGAAATAAACCTGCGAAATGCAAGCATAAAATTCTCCTCGCTCATAGAAGGGACAAGTTCTAGATGTAAAGCTCAAGTTGTAGCACATGTAAACAAAAGTAGATAATGTTTATTCTTGCTGTCCTTTGTAAAGAAGGGACCAGCATAATCCAGTCCTGTTAACAGAAAATGGAGATGATTGAAGAGCACGATCAGGTGGTAAAGGTGCGGTTTCCTGTGTACCGGCACGCACCTTGTATCGTTTACACAAAAAGCACTTACTTAACGTCGACTTGACGAATTGGCGTCCTTTTATGAACCAAAACTTTTTCTCTAATATCGGCTAAGGTAGCTTCGACTCCAGCATGGAAACAATTTGGTATGAGACTCAAAAATTACTAGTTCACTGTATCTATCTTTTATAAGGTAACAGCCAAAGGTGTTTTTCTTCGAAAACAAGATAGTCTGAGAATTGAAGTCTGCCCTTTAAACGCAGAAGATCATGGGTATCCAATTCTGGGTTAAGTGAATAAATCGACGATGTCTTTTCTAAGCATTTTTCACTTGATAGGTCTAGAATCTCTTTCGCAAAGTATTTTTGCTGTGTAACTTTCACCCAATAGAGCTCAGCTCGCGAAATCTCAACAGAGCTTAATGGACCTTTGACTTTCACTGAATTTCGTTTCATATTGTTTGTAAACCTCATAACATAAGCCGTAATTTGATATACCT